TAGTGAAGTTTATGAGTCTACTAAACTTTTATGAGTCCAATTAAAATTTCTTTTTGGCTATAGTGACTTATAGGGGGTATTTGTTTCTGGACAAATCAACGTAAACCTATGGGTGCCAGCGAGACGCCTGTTGAACCGCTCAAACCCCGCAAAAGGGCGGGGTTTGGAGCTCGCGTCTCATTGAAGTCAATAGTCGCTGGGTTCTGTACCAGTAACATAGACCTATTCCTTTTGCCAATTTTTAGCGTTGAAATGCCGACCTACCCCACCTATACCACAAAAACATTATTTTTGAAAAATAAAAAATAAAAAAATAGCATAATATACATATTTTGATTGGACTCATAAAAGTTCACTTTGACTCATAAATTACACTAAAGCCAGTCAAAAAAAGAAATGTTTTTTCTCCCAATTTTATTGTTTTCCTTCCCCCCATTTTGTTTTTCAAACAAATTTTCTTCCAAACAAGAATGTATTGTTAATTATCTTTTATTTGAAATTAATACATATTCAAACAGAAATTTTTGCTTCAAAAAAATTTTGTAGAAATTGTTGGAAAATTCAAAGAAAAATTCAAAAAGAATTTGTTGAAAATTTAAAAATTGAAAAGAAAAATTTGGAAAATGATTGTTTTAAAAAGAATAAAAAATTATTTAAAGGGGAAAATTTGGTTATAGATAAACTTTTTGGTCGTGTAAAATATATGAATTTATCCAAGGAATATCAAAAGAGATTGGGTAAATACATAATTAATTTTAGCGGGTATCGGATTGAAATATTTTGTTATTTTTAAAGGATTTGATAATAAAGGGAAATATAATTCAATACAAAATTAAGTTGCCCTTCACAAGATTGGGCACACTGATTAAAAGCTTGAAATCCTAAAAATTTGAATAAATTGAGGCAAGAAAGGAAATCCGCTGTCTTAGCTTAGAACGCTTATTAAGCAGTAGAGCCCGGACGGAGGGCTCGGTCGATATTTTTCGACAATATCGAAAAATATCGAAAAAATATCGTATCGAACCGGGCTCTATTAAGCAGCGCCAGTTAACATAATTATCGGGGCGGATGGGAACAAATCCCGAGCAGAAATTTTTAATTGCGTATAACACACTCCAAATATTCCGGTCAACGGAAGATGCCGGTCCGACCAGCCCTCTTACATTTTGTATTAGCTGAAGGAGAGAATCAGCTTTATTATAATCTTCAAGTCTCTCTTTCTCAGATGCTCAATCTTTTTGTCTAACAAATTTTCTTTACAAAAAGTTTGGAGAAGATATTGTAATCGGAATAGAAGCACCAAGAAGGGTTAATAATGAAGAATCGGCCATTCAAGATTATTTTAAAATTCCTTGGAAAAATAATTATTTAGTTTTTCGTTTGGATTGGGATAAAATAGAAAAACCAGAAAACGCCTTGAATAGGGAGGTGTATGAGGAAAATACTCCGGAATTTGAACAACTCAAAAAATGTAAAGAAATATTTAATGAAGATAGGTTATTGAATTAAATAATTAAATTAATATTTACGTTAACAAAAGCCAGGTGGCTGTTTTCACGGGGATGGTAGTTACGGTGGTTTTTGCCATGTTGGTTGGGAACGGTAGCTCTGGGAGTAGAGCCTCCCACCGCTCTCGGGACCCTACTTAATACCTAGTTTTGATTTAAATGTTGTTTTTTAGTTCTTATGAAAGAAGCGAGGATGGCTTGAAATTTATCAAATTTTCAAAATTATACGAGCGTTTCAATAAAAATCAGTTTTATTTGAACGATATTCCATATTGTAAGGATATTTTATTTTTATCATAATTAAATTGGGAATTTGAATATTATTTTTTAAAGTCGCTGATTATTTTGAGATTAATCAGAATATTATTGATGAGAATAATAAAAATATTGAGGATAATCAAGAAAATAGATTTGAATGTAGTATATGTTTAGAAGAATATAAAATTGGCGATAAAATAAAGAAAACTTCTTGCCAAGTTTTCCTTTTAATTTTTATAATTTAATTTGTTAAATTTAAGCATTTATTCCATGTTGCTTGCATTCGAAATTGGTAATTTTTTGTTTAAAATTTATACTGTGAAATACAAAAGAGTAAAGCAGCTGGGGTGTAAAGCACTACCTACCTCCCTCAAAACCTAACAGAATTGTTCTGAAACAAACAATTTTTTCGGTGAAGGACAGAAAATATTTGAAAAAATTAAAAACCAGACTTCCAACGTTGCAGTCATCCGCTAATCTCCTCTATTTGTTAGTTACCCTTCTGAGCCTAAAAAATTTGTTCTAAAAATCCATTCGAAACTTTCTATAACAAATCTTTCAAGCTAGGTCTATTCTGTAGATAATTTATTGTTTTAACCTCTCGCTAGAGAGAGACAATTATTCGATAAGGATAATTAATCAAGAAAATATAATGTTTGTAATTTTACAGGTTAAAAAAAGACAACAAAACCTGCCCCCTTTGCCGACAAGATTTAAACTTTAATTTGAATATTGACGTTCAAGATGAAGTAGAATCTAACGATAATAGACAGGCACTTGATATGAACAATTTTAATTTGGCTTTAGCATATTTCGGGAATGGAATTATTATGCTTTGAAAGCAGGGATGTCACGGGTTACCCGAAACCCGATACCCGAGACCCGAAACCCGGCCTTTTTTTCGACCCGATACCCGAAACCCGATCCGAGAAATTTTCTAAAACCCGACCCGAAACCCGACCCGAGAATTTTTATTTTTCAAAACCCGACCCGAAACCCGACCCGAGTTTTCTCAAAATTTTCGCCCTCGTCGGAGAAAAAGGGAAGATTTTTAGCTTAATGATCTTCCAAAATTCTGAAAATTTTCGCCTGCGGCGCTGAAAAAGGAAGTCTGGCTTCGGACCTTCAAGAAAGAAATCTGGCTTCAGACCTTCAAAAATTCTCAAAATTTTCGCCTGCTGCGCTGAGAAGTGAAGATTTTTGGCTTTTTGGCCTTCCAAAATTCTTAAAATTTTGGCTTTTTTTCGACCCGAAACCCGAAACCCGATCCGAAGAAAATTTTGAAAACCCGATCCGAAACCCGACCCGACTTTTTGCTCAACCCGAAACCCGAAACCCGATCCGAGAAAAATTTTGGAAACCCGACCCGAAACCCGACCCGACATTTTTCTCAACCCGTGACATCCCTGTTTGAAAGGTGTTAATCGACAAATATTTTTTAATTTAATTGAAATATTTAAATTAATTGAATAATTTTAGTCAATATTTTTCCTTTATCTTAATTTTAATTATTAAAAAAATATTTTCTTTACAAGAATAAAATAAATTTATTAAATCTTTCCAAGTTCAGAAATATTCCAAAAATTTATTAGACCAAAACAAAATTTAATGATTTAAAAAGTTAACAAAAATTTTTTGTCAAAAATTTCCTAACAAAACGCCTCTTGTGAAACATAAAGGCATTGGCCGCTCATTTGGGGAATTTGGTAAAACTCCATTTAAGGGAAAACTAAACCATATCGGGAAAAAATAAGTACATTTCGGTAAATGTCCGGTTGGTGTCCTACATGTCCGCAAAGAGAATGCGCATTTTTCCTTCCTTTTCATGCATTTTTTTCTGAAAGGAGTGGCGCCCATTTTTCCTTTGTGTATGGTAGCCTTATGGAATGTCGAAGGAAAGAGGGAAAATAATAAAAATTAATTACTAATAGAGTACAAATAAATATTTTATTTTATAAATGATCAAAGATGAAAAATTTGGGACAACATTCTCAAATAGATTTCTAAAATATCTGGGGGAATCTTAATCATTCGAAATCTTAATCTGTTCCAGAATGCTGTGTATTTGCTGTGTATTTGCACCGTTGACTGGATTCATAAAGAATTTTTAACAAAACTCATTTTTTTAACAAAAACATTTTTTACTGCTTGGTGTTGATATCCTAACTGATCTAAACCTAAAGTGAATTAATTGTTTGTAAATCAATCTAACATTGTTAGTTATAATAACTTTATTAGTATTAAATTAAGTACTCTATTAGTAATTAATTTTTATTATTTTCCCTCTTTCCTTCGACATTCCATAAGGCTACCATACACAAAGGAAAAATGGGCGCCACTCCTTTCAGAAAAAAATGCATGAAAAGGAAGGAAAAATGCGCATTCTCTTTGCGGACATGTAGGACACCAACCGGACATTTACCGTACATTTCAAATATTCAATACTTAAAAGCATCGATATACTGTATTTACTCGATTAATTCCCCCGGGAATTATTTTTTCAACCTATCCGTGGCATGGGGAATTATTCAAGGGAGGGAAATTATTCGAGTTTTGAAATTTGAACGTGTAATAGGGTATTTGGGGGAGGGGGATCATTGTTTCAACTCATCCGCTTCAGGGGAATTATTCGAGGGAGGCGAATTATTCGAGTAAATACGGTAATTGGAATAATAAAAATAAATATTTTATAAATAATCAAAATTAATTTTCCTTTGAAAAGCTCAAGCTAATGATAATAATTAAATTAATACATGTAAAAATTAAATGTCTATGTATGTGTTTTTGTTTTTTTTGATTTCCGTTTTTAATTTCTAAATTTTCAACTTAAATATAATTAAAGGGCACATTATTATTTTCCTGTCTATTATTAAAAGAATATGATGAAATTATAAAGAATTTAAATTAAATAATTAAAATTTAAAAGGTCATTAAACATTTTCCCCTCCCTATTTTTGAAATAATTTTTATATTAAAGGGCAAAAATGATGTAATTAATTTCTCAACAAAATATTTACTTGCACTTCTTTAATTTTTATAAAAAATTCTTTTATAAAATAGCTTCACAATTTATATTTAATTTCATATTAAATAAAAATTTTTAATTACATAATAATAATTTTACGTCGCCTAAGGGTGAAAGAATCTAATATTATAGCAAGAAATTGGGGAAAGCATCCAAAATTAAAATCGAGGTCCGCCAACAATAATTTTTAAAATATATTATTAATTAAGATGAAATTAATTTTTGTATTGTTTTCCTTTTCAAATATTATTTTAACAACTAAAAGTGGAGGAAATGACTTTTTACGAAATAATATTAACAATTCAAATTATGATAATGAAAGAACTTTTGAAGACCATTCTTGGCCATCACAACAAAATTTTTTGATAAATCCGGGACTGATTGGACGTAATAATTTTCAAAGAAATATGCCTTGGCTACAGTCAAATATTAATAATTCAGTGGAAAATGTTCGGCAAAATTCAATTATAACGCCTGGGAGCTCACTCACTGACCTGACTCATTCACTACCTGTTGTGAGAGAGCCCAACCCACATCAGTTAGGGATGTGCCCCCCTCCGTGGGGCACTCAAATACTTGGAAGGTGCCCCCCTCTTTCCTCTGGGGAAGGTTCATCATCTTCCCGTTTAATTCCAAATCGTGTTCCTGAACCTCCAAAACCTCGCAATAATTTAACACAACATGATCCATTAAAAATGTATGTGAAATATAAAAGATGGATTTTGAAACTTCACAGACTCGATGCAGAAAATTACAAGGTTATCGAAGATAATGGATATTTTATTTATTGTCTCAAGTGTGAAACCAAAGTAAAAATAAATTTTAATTAAATTTTGTGTATATTTTCAATTTAAGCTTACATTTAAAAGTAATAATATTGATGAATTTTATAAACATAACAGAACTCATCACACAAACAAATATGGACAAAGTAAGTTTTATAATAGTTCGAAGGAGAAACGGTACCTAGTAGAGTTGGTTGAAAACAATGGAGGTCAAGAGAAGCCCTTATTTAAAAATTTATTTTATTCCATAATGGAGCGGCTCAAAGAAACTTCGGATCCGTATCTAAAGCCCAAATCTCCCGGTATCCCTCTAGATACCCTGATATCCCCGGTGTCATTTGAACCCTGTATCACATTATCCTCCGTCATCTCCGCAACACACTTAACATCCTTTGTAATCCCATAGTATCACTTCAAATCTCCTCGTCCCTCTAGATCTCATTATATTCTTCGTAATCCCATGGTATCTATTTAATCTGATATCTCATCCTTGAACCTATTGCCTATATCTATAGTAAGACCATTAAATAAATATATAATAAACATTTAATAATTTATGAAATAATAAAAATAATATTAAATAATACAAATTCAGAACCAGTCCAAAGCCAAAAAAATTTAATAAATCAAGAACAACCTAAAGAAAACAAAGAGAAGGTAACGATAAATTTTCTGAGCAGTTTCGGGGAAAATAAAAATGAAGAAAAAACAACAATAGATTTTCTTAAAAATTTTGGTCAACAATAATAAAGTTTTTGTATAATGGAATTTTTAACGGAAAATTGGATAGATTTTGATATAACAAAAGTTGACAGTATACAAAACAGGGACCTTACTGACACAATTTCCTGGCCGAAATCGGAAATATATTTGGTAATTAACCGTTATACGGCCGCAAACTGAGTGACAGCTAACTTTGATCGGCTATAACTTTTTGATTCTTGACTCAATGTAAATAAATTATATAACATTCGAAAGCGCACGATAATAATAATTTTGAATAATAAAATAATTTTTTTAGATTTTTAGATTAGATTTTTCTTAATAGGATAGATCAAGTCTAATCTTACATTAAAAAATTATACCCTATAAGTTATTTAGTGTTTTTCACATTTATCAGGTTATAACTTTTTAACGAATGATTAGACTTGATACATCAAAATGAGACAAAGATCCGCTTATCGAGGGCTTTCGAATGATATAAAATTTATTTGTATTGGATAGAGCAACAAAAAGTTATAGTCGATCAAAGTCGGCTGGCACTGAGTAATCTATAAGATAAAACAAAACAAAAACACCCTCCCCTCGATTTGAGATACGTTTTTAAAATTTAGCGGTCAAATGGCAAAGCTGACAGGATGTAATCATCAAAAATAGAGATCGGCCTCGACCCGGATTCAAAACTTAATATTTCCTTGATCCAGACCAAGATAAAGGCATTTTTCAGCCTTCCTTGATTTTTCCTTGACTCAAGTCAAGAAATGAGGTCCTCACCAAATTCAAGGTCTTTTTTAAAGTTCCGATCTTTAATCAAAAATCTCCAAGCTTTTCCTGTAATGTCTTTAGTAAGGTCCTATGGTAATATAATATGTTTAATGAATGTATAAAATAATAAAATTTCATAAATAAATTCTTTTCACAAGGTTATAATACCACGGCAAATCGGACATCTAATATTCTCAGCTAACCTTTTAATTTTAAAAAAGATTCAATTTTAAGGTAAAAAATATTAGTTAATTTTACTAAAAATATATATTTATATTATTAACAAAATATATCAGCCATTTTATATTATACCTACCACTTTTGAAGGCAATGCTTGTGGAAATAATGCTGAAAATAGTGAAAATTTTCTTTCCTATTTTTATCTTTTTTGTTCTCATTTTTCCCTATTTTGAGAATTATTTGATCAGCTGACAGTTTTGGGGAAACAAGTTGTAATATTAATTACAGGGAAAATCGTTTCCTTTATTTAATGTTTGTCATACATATATACCAGGGATGGGCGATTTCGCATTTTCGCATTTCGCATCTTTCGCATTTTTCGCATTTTTTGGCGCGAAAAGTTTCGCATTCCGCATTTCGCTTTTTGGTCCAAATGCGAAATTTGTTTCGCTTTTTCTTAAAGTATTTTTTTTATTTTTAAGAAATTTTTTAAAATTATAATGTCTTTAATATGGAAGTATTTCTCACTTTCTGGAAGAGTAGCGTTCTGCAAAAGTTGTAGTTTTTCAAAAAACTACCCGCCACGTGCGCCAACAACATTTTTAATCTCACATTTACGTGGCAGTCATCCAGAATTGTATGATGATTTTTTAGCGAAAAGAAAAGCAAAAATGCCACAGCAACAGACATTAAAAAGGTTTAAGCTTTTAATAATTTTATTCCAAATTAAATATTTAGAGCATTTGCGGAATCAGCAGCCTTATGGATTTTGGACTGGTGACAATACAGTTAAATGGCCAATTTTATCCAAAATTGCAACGCGCTTTCTATCACCACCTTGTACATCAGCTGAAGCAGAAAGGTTGTTTAGTAGTGCAGGATTAATAATAAACAATCTGAGGAAACGTCTTATTCAAGAAAATGCAGAAATGCTTTTATTTTTGCATCATAATCTCGTAATTTATAATTTTGAATATGAATAAAATTTTTTGAATTTTAAATAATTTCGCATTTTCGCATTTCGCATCTTTCGCATTTTTCGCATTTTTTGGCGCGAAAAGTTTCGCATTCCGCATTTCGCATTTTATTTTTTTAAAAAAAGTTTCGCATTTCGCTTTTTATTTTTTGATTTCGCCCATCCCTGATATATACTCCAAATACGGCCGAACCCGTCCCAGAAGACAGCAAGAGGTTTGTTGAGACTTGGGGGAATTAATCCTGACAGCTCTCCGATTGTTGTCAATCGCTCAACCACGACTGATCTTTTCATTTTTGTTTTATTTGTTAGAGGAGTAAACCCTCCGACTAGTCCTAAGGCTGTGCAGTGATGTAAGGGCTAACGCATCAGTCCGGACTACTGAAGATGCTGGTTCGCTCCCAGCCGCCGAACTAAAGGAGAGAAATAGCTATAGCCCAGCTGCTTTACTGTTTTTTAGTTAACTACACCCTTACTCTTTAATGTTTTAAGCAAAAAATTTTCTATAACAAACATCGCAACGTGTAACAAACAATTTATCGCCCAGCTTTATCTTAGAAAGACAATATCCACATTCTACTTCAATATTACTCTCTTCTTCCTTTACCTCTTTAAAATTAAATTATAAAAAATATTAAATAAATAATTACTGAAATATTCTGGAATTTTGTCAAAATAAAGTTGGTTGGGATTGAAACGATTGTATAATTTGTAAAAGTCAATGTAATCTGTTTTATTTGAACTAAAAATTTTGAAATTAAATTTTATTTGTTTAAATTTATTTTTAATTTAAAATAATAGATTTGAAATATTTTAAAAATTTATTAGAATATTTTGCAAGATTTTTTTTTAATTAAAAAGGGGGGCTTTTGAATGAATGGTACTTGTTGTATAAAGATGATCTTATTTATAAAGATGATCTGATTTTGCAAAAATAATTAAAAAGGAGGTTAAAAATATTAATTAAAGGACAACTCCATGTTCGTTAACTCCGGTACTAGTTCTGCCACTCCCCCCCCCCCCCCCCCCCCACCCTTATGGAGATAAATATCCAAAACTTGGCTGAGGAGATTAGGACCATAGGTCAGGTATTATGACATAACTCTGGGTGAGTATAATTTGCTATATCTATTAAATGATTTCTTAGGAATACAGTCAACCTATTGAAAGTTAACTCTTATGGGAGGGAAACTACACTAGTTTTTTTATTTTCTTTTTAATTACCCTAAAATTTTGTCACATTCTTTGAGATCATTTAAATCGTCTTCTATAAAATAATTTTCAATTAATTTTGATTCATCCCAATCCAAATAAAGTACTTCATCTTTATTATTAACACTTGTTTGTTCAGCCAAAATTGCTGCTTCCTTATTTATTGTTCTTTCCGGTTTTCTAAAAATAACTACATTATCTGGGTCTCCATATTTTTTGAAGAGAAAATTCGTTAAACATGCCGATTGTTTATCTAAATTTTTTTAAAATTTTGACTAGGTATATGTATCTGTTTAATTGTTAAAAACAAAGGCCCTAGATAAGCAATACTGCGAAAATTCAAAGTAGCTCCGTACTTGTACTTCGTGCCAACCTTTATTTTGATCTCGATTTGTAATTTTTAAGTTTACTATTTATGCTCGTATTTTATACTTTTACCAAGTACGAGTACAAATTTTGTTACAGGCTTCGAATCACTGATTATAAACCAAAATTACCGTATATGCTCGGATTATTATTCTCTCTCGAATAACTACCCAGGGTAACTATTCGAGCATATACGGTAGGAATTTAGACTTTAAAACTGTTACGACCCGAGGTGTCCGAGGTTTAACTAATGTTGACGAGCACAATAATAACACGTTATCACACGTAGAAATAAACAATGTGTAGGCGAAGGAAATGGGACAGACGAAGGAGATCAGTGACTAGCCCCGCTAGTATGATCCAACTAGACTGACGCTTTCACTGGCTTTTATACTACTCTTTAAGGGCTGACGCCCATACACAACAAAAACAAGGATTTTATGTAAACTTTTCTTCAATTTATTACCTAGTTTTTCCTTATAATCAGTTGATAATCTTAGATGATTTGATCCAATTAATTTAAACATCCTTTCGACATTCAAAATAAGATTATTGTTTCCATTACAAAAAAATAATTTTTGTAAATTATGATGACCATTATTTTTACATTTAGACAATTCTAATGAATTATAAAATTCAATTGCCTCATTTTCACTCATACTTTCTTTAATTTCTTCCCATTCAATTTCCAAGTTTTCAACATTTCTTTTATTAATTCCTCTATAAACTCTCCAACAATAATTTCTTTTTTCCCCATAAAGTTCTGTTTGGACATTTTTATATTCAACAAAATATTTAGCTATTTTGTTCAAATGCCCATCAGTAA